CGTCATTTTCACTAAGTTTCATATTATGTTTACTGCGTGTCAATGCAGATATTGGATCGTAGTTGTAACTTAAAAGCTCATAATTTTCACTCATGTATGTAGATGTATTTAAGTTACTGATCTTTTCCTCAGATAACGGATTATTCTGATGTATATTTTGTTTATTTATAGAAACATTTGTTGAATAATTTTCTACATTATTAACAGAATTACTTGACGTGGTTGAACCTTGTGGTTTTCTTTTCTCCATAATAGAATAGAATTGAACAATTTGTTCAAGCTGTTCTTGATTTATACTTGTTTTTCCTTGAGAGATTAAAGAAGTAGCCAGTTTAGAAGCGAGCTCAGTTGTATCTAGCCGATCCTGGTTAGAATATAACATATTAGCAACCCTGCTAGGGGTTTCATTTTCATGTATATTTCTATTGAGCTCTGTTTTGTTGGCTTCTAATTCTAGCTGTAGTGTTTTTGAATGCTCTAGTAATTCTTCAGTAGCATTAATTGCCTTTCTTAAAGCGCGTTCTTGAGTTAAATCTAACATTTTTGAAATTATAAGACCCGTAAATTTTTCTTTTGCTGTTTCTAGGATAGCACAGTTTTCACTTGTAAGTAGTGATGTATTTACTTTTTCTGGATTTAATTTACAAATTTGCAGTGCTTTAGCTAATAATGCAGTGATGCTAGGTCCTAAACTTCCCAAATGTCCCTCTAGTGCAGTTAATAGGCGAAGTACATGGATAATATTTATATTTCTTTTACTATCATCGTTTTTTATGGATTCTTCGCATTTCAATAGATTTTCGGGAGTGTGAACGTGGTATTTAGAGTTTGATAAGTCGTCGTTTGTCATTGGCAAACATAACCTTTCGCGGCATTTGATTTTGATATTTTCGATATCTCGATTATACAGTTCCTCCAAGCGAGAGTTAAAAAATAGTATCCATTCATTTTGAAAATTATATGATCTATGATTTATGCCAGCGGCTATAAGTTCATCTTTACGCCGCTTCCAGAAAATTTGCCACTCTTCCTTATACATTGGGTGCTCTTCGGGATCTGATTTATATAAATCATATTTTGTATTTAAATCACGAACATTGTGGTCAACCAAATGTCTATAAGCTTGCCAAACATCATCATCTCTTAATGGGGACAATGACTTACGTTCTACATTCCATTGCGATATTATTAAACGATTTGAGCGTATTCGCTTTCGATCATTTGAGTTAGATCTTGATCGACTACGTTTAGGAGTTCTAGACGGTTGTCTGCTACAAGAACGTTGATTCTGTCTAGTCTCTCTTAAAAACATATCAACCATTCGTTTATGAGTTTCATCATCGACAGTCTCTATTCTATGATCTTCATTGAAAGGATGACTGGCATAGTTAGCTTCGACATTTTGATTCATAATTGTATGATTAGATGGATTACAAGTATTAAGTAGGTTGTCGTTATTAATAGTAGAAGTCTTTTCAGCAGGAAATTTATAATTGCTGGAATTTTCAATTAACAATTCCACTTCATTTAAATCTACCACATGCGTAAACGCTGGTCCTAGCATTTCTGAGGCATGTTTTCGATTAAAGACTGTTGATATAATACGTTGTTTATTTTTGGAAAACGAGTATTCGTAACAAGGATAAACTGTCTCACGTCCATGATATTTCTCAATAGCCTTTGCCAGTTTTTCTAATATTGAAGGCAATATTTTAAAAATATGGTGCTCAGGTATATGTGAAATGTATTGCCGATACTGCCGCAAGGCTGTCGGGAAATGTTTTTCACAATATGTTAAACGATGAGTATAGCTTTGTATATGATTATTCATTATTTTCTCATCAGTGGTAATATTACATAAAGTACAAAAATATTTAGCAGTTCCATCATTAAGATTTCTCATTATTTTAATAACGTACTCGACTCCCAGAAGTCCCAAGATTTCAGTTATAGTCGAGTTCGAATCAAAAATAGAATCACAATTTGATGTCGGTACACATGTTACACTGTTTTGAGACTTTAGATTCCCTGTCCCAATGCATTGAGGAGTTACGTCTAATTCATCATTATTTTTGCTTTTATTGCGATTAGAAATTCTGATCGGCACTATAGATGTAGAAACCGAGCAGCCAGCCTCCGAATTTTCTATTAATTTTGATATTGGAACACATGAAATGTTTGTTTTTCTTGTTGATGATGTACGATTTCCCCCAATATCAGGTGTCACGCTCAATTTTTCTGTAATTGTTTCAGCGTTGGTTGCATTGACATCAGTATGGTTTACTTTGGTTTCGGACCCGCATGTTGGTTCTTCAATACTTTCAGAGTAATTTAAGCCATTACTTTCACACTTTACTGAACTTTGATGAACTAATTGCTTATTAAATTGATGTGGAAAAACAGAATTCACAGTAATACCTTCATCTTCATCTGTTTTTCTGTTCTTATCTATATTAGATATTTTTACTTTTCGAATCATGTTTGTCATGTCATGTTTATTAGAACCTACATTTAAATTGGGGATTTTAGGTTCTATATTTTTGACCTCAATACCAGTAGATAGAGTTTTATTTTTGTGCAGTTGCTGATTTAGTTTAATGGGGTCTGATGGATTCTGTGTTTCTCCAGCTTTCTCTTTATCCCTGGAGCATTCAACCTTGTTAGATATTGGTAATTTTTTAACATTATTATATTTATTTATTAAAATATTTTCCTCAGAGAATTTAGGAAGAAATAATTGGGTTACAGACTCCATTTTAGCTAAATGTTTCTTCCCATGGAGATGACTAATTAAATTCTTGTTTCCATATTGAACAACTTTGCAAACATTGCATGAATACTTTTTCTTCAATTCGTCTGTACAAACAACTAGTCTATTTAGTTTGTTTACATTTTTAGTTCTAAATTCTATTTGAATCACCTCTTTTAGAGACAATGTTAATAAAATTTTTGAAAATTCAGTTTTGTCAAACATTTTTTTATATTTTGTAGCCATTATGATTATGACGCGATTAACACAAAAGAAATTTAGTGTAAGATCTGCATATGGTCGACGATTTTATTAATAAAATATATATTTAATATATTTATTGTGATAATTATTCATAGCTATAAAATTAAAGGGAAAAAACGTGTATTGTAACATAAGACATATAATTAAAAGCACACATATATTAAAATTTTTGCAAAGATGTGTTTGATTTATGGGTTCTAAATGACACTTATCTAGAAATAACGTGAGGAAATTAGATAGCGAGTGTGCCACAGGGACCAAGCAATTATTCATTAAGTTATGATACATTGAGTTTCTCCACAGATTATTGAAGTACTACTATGTATTTACTTATTCACTAACTTTATTTGTTTCCCTTATTATATTATACACGAATCTTGCTGAATAAAAAGTAGTCACAATTACACTAATTTCATAAGTGATTCTATAGGTTGCCCGAAAAAAAAAACTCTAATCAGACAATGCTTCCAAAGCTTTGAGGACAAAAACAGATATATTAAAAGTCTAAACAGTTGCAGATCAAAGTCAAATATCAACGTCCTCCGGCTATTAATGCTCAGTGTTTTTAATGGGGCCCATCACGCCTCTTCTCCTGAAAAGAACGTGGAAATACGGCCTTTAGAATGCTCATTCACGGTCAAAACATTGCAAAATCGAAAATAGAGATTTTTCAAATTTTCTTCGTCCCTAATTGTAAATAAAACAAAAAATTTTAACAGTAAATTACGTATGAAATTTTGAACTCTTTGCTGTCCAAACAGGCGCCAAAAAATATTTATACATATTTTTGATCAGGACGATGAGCTGAGTCATTATAAAGAAATATACAATCCGATTGTTATAATGAATAAAAGGACAAATTGTATTTTAAGCAGTAAAGACTTTTGGATTCTCAAATTAGACACCGTTGCACTCTGCAAATTTGTATAAAGTCCTATCAAAGCAAAAAACAGCCACAGTTTTTGCTGTCTAAACTAAGTTTGTGTGCAATGTTAAAATAAATAAATTGTGCCCGTTTTTTTTCAACCATATTCTTTTAATTACTGTGTCTACCATTTGTTCAACAATATAAATTATTTCGAGTACTTTTCCATTTACATTTCATGTCAGTACATTTCTTTTTTATGTAGTACTAGCATATTGTATATAAAGAGCTCGAAACTTAAAATATATACTAAATCGCGCTGGTAACCTATAATGAAAAATGTATAGTACATAGATAGATATCCAGGTCCATATGGAAATGGCGAATCGACAATTACTAGTACCTTACCTTAAATTCTAAACGAATATAGACAATTAGAACTGAATCATGCCTGCCAAAATAGATTAAATCTTTTCTTTTACCATCAATGAGTATCATATAGTCGGTCACCCCGACTGCAACATTCCTAAATACATATTAATGTATGCAGCGTTAAAAGAAACATTCACATAATGCTTTTTGCACTAAAAGAAATTCGAAGGTTTTGCGATTTTCAAACATTGCAAACTTTGCAAAGCCATAAATTATATTCAAAGCCTGTAAGATATTCTCATGCAAAGGTTTATTGCGTGACTCATTCGGGAAGTATATTTCGACAGTAGATATCTAACTGACAAATCCATGAATCGAAATGGATATTTAAAAAAATTGTCTGATTATCCTGTTGCCTTTTGTTATTCTTAGTTTAAAACTAACATAGGAGGATAACTCACTGGGTTCCATATACACACACATATGATGATATCACAGTGATACACACACACATATATACATACATACATAGGTAGACTGTTATTAGGCGTATGTAGAATAGTATAATGTTGCTACGCGTCCTAAACATTTAGCTGGTTGGAAACGCATAGGGAATGATGTCATACCATACTAATTGATTTAATATGATTACACATGTTATAAACAGACATAGTTCAGTTTATTGATGCATCTATAGAAACCTACCGAGCTTAAATTTAATATGAGAAATTGCATTTAGGGATAACTTACCGGTGTTTTCTTTTTCTTTTCTTTTCTTTTTAAGCTATCCAAGTGTGTTTTCAATTGGAATCTTAACTGGCTCCAAATCCCAGCAAATTATGGAGATATATTTTTTATATTTTTCATACAGAGCGCTTAAATATTGAAAACATTGATACAATATAGATAAATCTACCAGATATACGTACATACTATTTTTAACCTTTTTGCGTTTTATGAGTTCGATTAGAGAATACAAAACCATCAGAGTAATTGCGCAGTTTATTTATCAATTTCCACAGAAATTTGCAAAAACAAAAAAAAACTTGAATTTCTTATATGCACTGCGACGAAGAAAGACTAAAAATTTCGACCACAACGAATCAAATGAAAATATGTTTTTTATATCGGTTAGTGATGGCATAACGCCGATAGAAAAACTAATGTATTTGGAAAACCATGGCCTAGTACGTCCATCAATAGATATCGAAATAATATTCTTTAATATCAATATGAATATAAACGTATCGATAAATGCTACCTGCTACCTGAACAATGCGACTACGTTTGTATAATTGCGTATTTAATATTCTGAAATGTATGCTTATGATTACATTTAGGTTTAATAAGTGACCATATACATGGCAGACTGTTTTAGTAATATTGGCAGCCTTACATGCTCAAATGCAATTTAATTCCAGTGTTTCATTCCATTGTAAACTTTTTATGAATATATAAGTTTGATTTCTGCAGACCTAATTCGATAATAGACATCCGTTCAAAAAGTCCATATCAAAGGAATTGACAGCAGTGAAAGCGAATGTTACCTGCAGGAAGAAACAAATCTGTTTATAATTTTGACATCTTTAAATAAACGCGTATTGTTTTTTTAATATTGCAACATGGAAATTTCCGGCAATAATCGCTATGAGTTATTATCTATGGATGATGAATCGGTGGCACCTGCTATTCCACTTAAACAAAGCGCCGGTACCGGCAAAAAAAAAAAAGACCAATTTGTACAGTCGAACACTGTTAAAAATGAAAAGGAAAATAAGATAAATACGCTAAATAAAAATAATACGAAAATTACAAATCAAAACTGCGGCTCAAAAGGAAATAGTGTTTCGAATGGTATCAAAGAATTCCGTACTAAAAATGTTCGTATGAACGGCTCAGAAAAGATTAATTCCAATTTACCAGAGTACAATAATGAGCTTCCGCAAAGGCATATTAGAGATCGTGATAGTAAGACTGCACGTTTCCGTGGTAATGAGAAATTTGGAAAGCGAGAATTTGACCGTCAATCTGGTTCGGATAAAACGGGTAAATATCACATGTATCTTGAATATAGATATATATATGGAAGAAAAATGATAATATATGCCAATTTATTTTATAATTAAAAGTTCTACAAGTGGTCGTAATGTCGATATACCGTAACGATGTATTTAGTTATCAAATTTTATTTGTAGACTTTGGTATTCTATTTGATTTGGAAAAGCGATTTTCATATCTTTGGATATGATCTGTGGTACCCTACCTCGTAAATTTTGAAAAGCTGGTATCTCTACTGACAAAGGGGGGCTGTGATCCCCAAAATCAATAGCCCAATATCTGCAGAAACCTGGTTGTGTATTAGTTCGTACATATATATATAGGTATGGACAGTACTTTTTAAAAGTAGTTCTTCATAGTAGTTTTCCTGTTTGATTTAGTCTATGTGGACATAGATCGGCAATTATCTACGATCAAATTTGATTTCCGTAAAGTTCATTTACATAATGCGAATTTTCATTTCCTTTTTTGTTATTGCTTTGGATAGCTGACTTTTGTTAAGGCACTTTTTATCGGAATGTAAGAGATCTTGGCAATTTTCACCCAATGTTCGGCAATATAAAATGCGTGGTGAACGGCAAATGTCTGAATAAATCCTTTATAAAATAGTTGTGTAGTCTAAAAAACATGCTCATAGAAAATTAATTCATAACTTATATTCAATACATCCAGTTCATAAAAATGTAAAACATATTCTCGATATAAAACGGATTCCAGCTAACATAAGAAACAAATTACCCTTTTTCTGGTCTAAATCGCAAAACAAATCCATTTATTTTAGGTGTTAAGTCTGTGGATAAGCGCGATGGAGCTGGGGCACACAATTGGGGATCTGCAAAGCAGGATATTGAAGAACTGAAATCGGCCACTGCAGCTCCTGTAGCAGATAAAGAAGACTCTGCAAATGAACAGTCTGGCGAACCTACAAATACTTTGGAAGAAGATGAGTCAAAGCTAATGACTCTTGATGAATGGAAGGCCCTTAAGGATCAACGTGCTAAGCCTAATTTTAATCTGCGAAAAGCTGGTGAAGGCGTAGATAACTCAGAATGGAAAAAAATGACTGTCTTAAATAAAAAAAAGACAACAGATATTGAAGATGAATTGGAATACGACCCATCAATGTATCCCCAGCGTGTTGGTCGTATACAACGTATTGTAGACATTCAGTTTAATTTCAATGATGGGCGAAAGTCTGGATTTCGGAAAGGACCACGAGCACCAACGCGCGGAGGTCATCGAGAAGAATCAGTGGCCAACACTGGATTCGAAAAAGTTCCGTCATATAAATTTGCAAAACAACATCGCGCTGGATCAAAAAATTTAAAAGTGGATGATGAAATTCAATTTCCGACCCTTTCTTGAAACGTGAATCAAGTTACTGAGGTTCATTCAATTCGCCTTAAATATATGTACTTTACGAAACAAATCAATCTTGCTAACCCAAATCGTAGAAGTTATATAAATTGGGTTTGAATAATTTACGACAGTAATGATCAATAAGCTATTGGAAATAGTTTAAAGAGTTGGAACAATTATACTTATTTTTTATACTTAAGATCCCGGTATATTAAAATTATATGAATGCTATGAAAAGAAAATACAAAATGCTGTATGAACGAGAAAATTGACAAGTTGAATTCAATAAACAATTTAAATTCAGCTTTAAAAAAAAAAAAAAAAAAAAAAAAAAAAAAACTGAAATTTTATATTTACGAATTAATCGAATGCTTCAGTGAATTTTAGGAATCTGTATATGTAAATATATAACGACTTGGAGATCCCCTGAACCCTTTGAGCAATTGCTATACCAATTATTCTGTCTTCTGCTTTTACAAGAAACCACTGTTAAAAGACAGTAGGTTGCGCCACTAGCCACAGAAGACATAGTGTAAAGCATTTTGCACACTTTCGAGCGTTGCGTTCCACACAACTTCGTATTTGCTCGGCTCTTCTCTTTTTGAGTTCGGGATATGAAAATATACGAAAGCACAATCATTTCGCTTCCCAGTGACGATGAGTTGAATGAGGTCGGTCGAAATAATGCATTACATACGAGACGTAAAGTATTGCATTACCTGAGATTTTTTTCAACGCATTTATAATGTACAAAATAAAAGCGACTACTCGTACAAAAGAATCGTACTGTTGTCAACTTCGTTTTTGTATGCCCCTTACCCTCTAATCAACAAACGGTTTTCGTCTTCGCTTGGTTTCTTTGTCTATGCCTATTCCTTTTGTGCGTAGAGTGTTAATGTGTGAAAATACAATCGCATAATTGTCACTTTTCTGATTTTGCTGAGGCTTGCGGACGCAATTTTGAAGGAAAGTATTTCGCAGTGAGTTATAAATATAAATATGGTCTATCTGGTATGTATAAATCATCTTACTTATATCTTTAATAACAAAAAATTAATAATGTTTAATTAACAGATGCTATTAAAACCGAAGGGTGAACCCGACCGAAGGGTGTAGTTATGTAAATATAGACTGAGTGAATTTAGACTTTAAGAATGTAAATAATATTTAGCTAATAGGACATAATAAATTATAATTATTATCAATTTAAATAAAAAGTGGTGCTACATTACTAAATCGTTTCTATATTTCAATTAGTAATTATTTCTGCAATTACATTGCACAGATGTAAGCCATATTAACATAAATTGTATTAAACAAGTTAATGAACAATGATAGAGATTGTCTTGTGTTGGGTGATTTTAATATTCCGAACACTTCTTGGTCTTCAACTTGTAATGCAAATTACTTTATTCCGACAATTGATCACTATCTTTTTGATGAATTGTTTAACCTGTCTATGTTTCAGATGAACTCTATTTCAAACCATCTTAATCGCACTCTTGATCTTCTGTTTGTTAATCATGATTCGCTCATTAATGTCGCGAGATCAACTCCTTTCACCTTACCTGAGGATATATATCACCCCACTTTAGAGGTTTTATTAACTATCGATAATCCTCCCTCTACTACTCCAATGCCTTCTAAACTTAGTCGCTGTTATCGTAAATGCAATTTCGTTTTGCTTAACGAATTAATTAATTCAACAGACTGGTCTATTTTATATGAGTCGGTTGATATTAATTTAGCAGCATCGTTTTTTTATTCTACCTTAAACTCTATTCTGGATGCTTGTGTCCCTCTCCGCCGTATTTCGCCAGTTTCAAATAAGCCACCTTGGTTCACCAAAACTCTTTCTAACTTGAGAAACATTAAAACTAAATGTTTTAAAAATTACAAAAAGTCTGGTTCAAGTATTGACTGGTCCAAATATTCCATTGCCAAGTCAAACTTCAATCTTTTAAATTCTAGCTGTTATGAGAATTATCTTACACGTTGCAAACGTCAGTTTACTCGAGATCCCAAACAATTTTTCTCATTTGTAAACTCGAAGCGTAAATCTTCTGGTTTGCCGTCCTCATTTGTCCTTGGAGGTGAAAAAACTTGCAATGATCAGGATTCCTCTGATCTATTTGCTGATTTTTTTCAATCCACTTATTCTTCTGCTGATCTCTACAGCAACTAATTTCCATATTCACTCCCTGAATATGGATCTATAAATACTCCCAAAGTTACTGCATCCTGTCTGGCTGCAGCCATTAGGACATTGAAATCATCTTTCTCTCCTGGTGCTGATAATATTCCTAGTTGTGTAATTAAAGAGTGCAGTGTTTCTCTTCAGTCACAATTACTAAAATTGTTTAACTTGTCCTTGGATACTTCTGTGTTCCCTTTAATTTGGAAAGAATCTTTCATCATTCCCTTATATAAACAAGTAAGAAGGCTCCAGTGGAGACTGCTCGACTAGGAGATACCCTGAACCTTCCAAGCTGATATTCTAATCATTCTGGACTTCTTTTATGCACACATACATACACATGCATACATGACTTTTAAGCACGCGCTCTGCTAACTGCGCAGTAGGCAGCGGCTGCGCTGCAATGTAGGCAATATTATGGGAATTTATTTGTTGAATAATTTCTTATGTAGACGTACAATCTTAATGAAACTTTCAGATCATAATGTTTAAATGTATGTACATTCTAAAGCACAAGTCTCTAGTACTTGAAATGCGTTTTTTCCAAATTGGAGGCGAAGGGGGCGTGGTATCCAAAATCTGTAAATGACAAAATCTATGTATCTATTAACTTTATATACAACGCAAATTTAAAGTCTCCAGGTCTAAGTGTTCAAACTAGGCTGGAAAAACCAAGTCGATTTTTCGATTATTCTCGATAAAAAGGTTATCGGATGAGTTATCGAAAAAATAAAGCAAACTTGTACTGCCTATGGTATATACGAGTATGCATGCCAAAATTCAGCTCTCTAGCTCTTATATCTTCTGAGATCCTTTTGCTCATACGGACGGACGGACGGACAGTCGGACAGGGCTATATCGACTCAGCTCGTCGTCCTGATCAAGAATATATATACTTTATGGGGTCTGCGATGATTCCTTCTGCCTGTTACATACTTTTCACAAAACCATTATACCCTGATTTCCCATTTTCAATGGGTTCAGTGTATAAAAAGGTGGAAGATCTGATATTTCCAATTATAGAGGCATCGCGAAATTATCTGCTATTCCGAAGTTATTTGAGAAAATCATAACATCGGCCTTGCAGCATTTTTGCAAATCGATTATTCAACCATCTCAACATAATTTTGTTCAAAATCGATCAACGTCCACTAATTTACTTGAGTTCACTTCGCTTGTTAATGACAGCTTTTCTAAAAAAATGCAAACCGATGTTATTTATACGGACTTCAGTAAAGCATTTGACTCAGTACATCATCACATACTAATTCTTAAGCTTGAACGCTTAGGATTTTCACCCAGTCTTGTCTCTTGGATTTCATCCTATTTAACGGGTAGAACCCAAAGAGTCTTGCTGAGAACAGCTATGTCCAAACTTATCTTTGTTTCGTCTGGTGTACCTCAGGGTAGCCATTTGGGCCCATTGCTCTTTTCCCTTTTTATAAATGACCTTCCTAGTTGTATCTCGTATTCCACTATATTTATGTATGCTGATGATGTAAAACTTTGCCTTCCATACTCCACGGCAAATGGACATCATCACCTTCAAGATGACCTAAATGCATTTCAACTTTGGTGTGTGGCTAACCAGCTGGACCTAAATTGCTCAAAGTGTATGACAATGACCTTCAGTCGTACCGTTCCTCTAATTGTTGATTATAAAATTAGCAATATTTCCTTACGAAGCATCTTTACAGTCAAAGATCTTGGTGTGTTCTTTGACTGTAAACTTAACTTTAATCTTCATATTTCTACCATCATTAATGAAGCCAAAAGTGTGCTTGGCTTTATTAAACGTTGGTCTAAGGAATTTAAAGATCCTTTTACTACCAAGCGCTTATTTACTTTGCTTGTGCGTCCTATCTTAGAGTATTGCTCTGTCGTATGGTCTCCGCAACATAAACTGTATCAGGATCGTATCGAATTGGTCCAAAAACAGTTTCTTCTCTTTGCCTTAAGAGACCTTAAATGGGACAGTAATTTACGATTACCGTCTTATCATAGCAGGCTCCAGCTAACTGATCTTCCATCGCTAACCAATCGCAGAACAATTTTAGGAATTGTTTTTCTGCATAAATTGATTAGTGGTGATATTGATTCGTCCTCTTTGTTGGGTCGTCTAAATTTTTCGGTTCCGTCCCGAGCAACTAGACACTATCGTCCGCTTCATTTACCTGTGTGCACTAGAGATTATTCTTTGCACAGTGCGTTTCATGTTCTTTGTGTTAATTTTACTAAATATTATCACGTTTTTTCCTTAGAGCTCTCTCTTCCTAAAATAAAAAGTTTACTATCAGCTTATCTTAGGGAAATCACTCACAATGCCCAGGCATAAGCATTGGCATACGTTTTTGCTGCTAATGTTGTGTTAGTTATTTCTCAATTCTATTCTTATACTCTATTTTTGGCTCTTCCCTTACTCTTTTCTTTTTATTATTTCTTATTCTTTTTATTAACTTTTCTTGCAACTCCTTTTATTACCGTCCTTTTTCTTTTTCTATACTATATCTCTTCTTATTTTATCTTTTTTTTTCTTTTTTTATTATTGTTTTTTTTTCTTTTTTTAACTCCTTTTATTATTTATTTATTTTTTTATTATTATTTTTTTTTTTTTTATTATTTTCAGAATTATTTTAATTATGTTAGATATAGTTAATAACCTACATTTTAATATTTTATTTTTTTAAGTTTTCTTACTAACACTTTCTTTTCATAGCTTCAATAGTATCACTGACCATATTTGGCTGTGAGACGTGGGCATAGCCGGCCGGACTGGCAAATAAAATACCCCCATCGGGTTGGTGTTACTATTGAAATTATATCCTGTACTTTGTATAGGCTTTTTTAAATTAAAATTTACTCTCGTTTTTGTCAATAGCTCATTACTAACCCATAAGCGATTTTAACATTGAATGATGCGTTTCCTTCAGGCTGCGGAAATTCTGCATTACAATATTTAAAAAGTATACGCTGGGCAGTGGTGGAAATGCCCATTATTTTCTCCCTTGATTACTTGTCGCCTATGTGCATGAAAAGATCGATTACAAGCTCCATTACTTTCATAACAAACATACCAGATAGAGCATATTTATATTTATAACTCACTGCAAAATACTTTCCTTCAGAATTACGCCCGCACGGCTCAGCAAAATCAGAAAAGTGACGTGTTACATATGTATGTATACAATTATGCACTTGTATTTTCACACATTAACACTCCACGCACAAAAGGAATAGGCATAGACAAAGAAACCAAGCGAAGACGAAAACCGTTTGTTGATTAGAGGGTAAGGTGCATACAAAAACGAAGTTGACAACAGCATGATTCTTTCGTACGAGTAGTCGTTTTCAATTTCTTTGTTACAAATGCGCTGAAAAAAAATCTCATAGGTAATGCATTACTTTACGTCTCTTATGTAATGCATTATTTCGACCGACTTCATTCAGCACGTCGCCCCTGGGTGAGATAGTGGCATCTTTTGTTCAATAGTCGACGGTCGAGTGCATGAAGTGAAATGATTGTGCTTTCGTAGCCCGAACCCAAAAGTGAGGAGCCGAGCAAATAAGACACTATGTGTCCGGTCTGTGTATTCTGTGGCTAGTGGTTGCGCAAAGAGCAGTCCCGTTACTTTTAATGTTAACTAACAGCTCTCTTGTGACGTCACATTTTCGGACCGTGCTCTGTTATCCTAGCTGAAGCTTGGCGGGCACTTCAGCAGAGATCCACCAAATGGTCCACAACAATCAAAAATTAATAATTAATAATAAGATTTGATTTGTGATCATATTATCCTGATAATTTTTTCAAGACTATCATAAGTTAATCCTTTCTTTACATAAGTAAGCTTAGCTCACATAGCACTGTAATTTTTTACGTAAATAAGTAAGCGTGCTCTAGTCGAGAGTGCTCGACTAGGAGATACCCTGAACCCTGCCAGCTGATATTCTAATTATAACTGGAGAGTTAGCAGCGACTGAGCTTGGGTTGCAGTGTGGCCAAAAGTATGAGAATTTATTTGTTAGACAATTGCTCTTGAATAAGATTATCTTTATTAAACTTTCAGAACATGATCAGAACGTGTGCATTCTAAAGCTCAAGCCTCTAGTACTTAAAATACGTTTCATTAGGATTGTCCATCTACAAACGAAGGCTCTCAACTGGAGACTTCTTTCTTGTTGTATTTAGAAGATATTATTACGACTTTTTCTTTTCTAGTTACAGTTCGTATTGTCTTTTAATACCCGAAATAAATTCACTTAACCTATCAGACTGATACAATCCTTTTTTCGATTCTTTTTTGTTTATATTGTTTGACTCCTTTCCAAGTTTTATCTAAAAAATAGAAGAATTCAATAAAATTAAAAAACTTGTACTGGAAACTAAAAAGTAAGTACTCACATAATATTTATATTCTGGAGAAGTAGATTCTAGTATTAAAATTCTGTTTTCTATATTTTTAATGCGATTATAAATATTGTCTTCGTCGTCCGGAGTAATACGCATATATTCTTCTATATTTTGAAGGCGCGCATTTTTTAGTACATTGCTTTTAACCAATTCACAGTGTTTATGTTTTGTAGCCATTAGCTTATTTAATTGAGAGGAATAGTCAGGCCGTGTTTGTCTCCTATCTTCAAAAGCGCGGTGCACTACAATAATATAATCAATAAAATTCAGCAAATTTTGTTTCGGTGTAAATAATATATATGTATATTTATTATCGGTAGACTCTCGTTATTTCGAGTGTTTAATATAGTAAATGGTTCAAAATTGTTGAGAGAAAATAAATAAAGCTTCAAATTATCAAGGGGTTTTTTTTTTTTAACTGCTGATATTTTAGATATTCGTAATGTACTTATGTTCAAATTAATTAATCTTTGGAAAAAAAACTCATACTAGTTTGCTTCGAAGCATATAGCTCAAGCTTTTCAATAATTTTCTTTAAGGAGAAATAGTTCCTGATATATCACTTTCGTTTTGCAGATGCGTAACACGCAACCACGTACAGTATAGGTAGTTTTAGAGGAGTCCAAAATTCAAATTCAAAGTTCTTGCTAGCACACCAAGAAACTTCACAAAATTTGAATTGTCGAGTGTCTGACCGTATGAGTACGAATTACCGCGTTTTAGCAATGGTTTTTTTTTTTTTTACATAATTTGAAATATGAAATAAGAGAGTAGGGGACTCGTGATTGCTTTGAATTAATGAGAAGTTCGAAATATCGCATGTTTGAAATAACAAGAGTCGACTGTATATATAGATACTCTTACCCTTTATATGACTGATTGATTGTTGTTGCTTTACAAGGATACTTTGAGTACGCGCACATGAATCTTTTGGTAGCATCGATTCTGCGCGTGGACTATCTCTCAATTGTTGCTTGAAGTCTATTATATTGTGCAGATTAATTTCATCCCGTTTCCTTTTCAAAAAACATTTTATCCGTCTGGTCAACTCAATGTCACTTACCCTGATTTGCACAAGTTTACTTTCAGAAATATTTTCTACCTGGCGTTCAATTTTGCATAAAGAATATTCAAAGGCGTTTGAAGATGTTTCAGTAAATTCTGTTATAAATTAAAAGAGATATAAGGAAATAAAAAAATCGCTTTTAACTTTTCAGGGTATATTATGCACAATCATTTTATCTATTACAATTGAAAAGTTTATAGTTTCTTACGGGGCCAAGGGCACTCCATATTTGCTTTCCATTCTCCGATTTGATCATTTTCATATATTTCCTTTTTCCATATAGGCACACTCGATTTCAGCTTGTCTACAGCAAAGCTAACCGATTCCAATGCCGCTGGGCGATGAGGCGCAGAAACGGCAATCACTACACTTTCTTCAGCTACAGGAACGCTTCCGAGTCGATGATATATCGCAATATGCTTTAGAGTTGGCCACCGGATTCTTAGCTCAGAGCAGATCTTTCCCATTTCTTTTAAAGCCATGCTCTCATAGGCTTCATATTCCAATGATATCACCTATAAAGAATTTGAATTTCATACTTTTCACTTATATATATGAATTATATTCCACAAGTAACAAACAACTATCACAACGCTAAAAAATAAATAAATGTAAAGTGAAATGAGTCTCCAAATTTTAAATGTAGATTTATATGTACTTATAGAATTTCGATTTTGTTATATCCTCCCCCTCACCATCACCTTGGTAAAAGGTGTATTTCAAAAATATGGTATATCCACAAGAAAAGTTATTCGACTATTAAGTTCTGATAGTAAGTTCACATTGCAGCCCATGCGTGTTTATGCGTGGGTGCCTGTGTGTGTTTCTTGTGTAAGCAGAAAGTCGCGAAAAATGATTGAAATATCTGCTACTCGAAAGGTTCAGGGGATCTCGTAGTCGAGCAGTCTCACTAGAGCTTTCTTACTCGTTTTGTTATCAATTAAAAGCCTTATCGAAAATTAGTTATAAAATTATATGTCCTTTAGAGCTAGAGTCGCCAATTATAAATATAGGTTCATACGTATTTTATATAATTTCTATGTTATAATTATAATTAACCCCCATCCATATATCCACCCAGTGTTGCCGAAACTTTTTCAGCAAAAGTAGCAAAACCGAAGGCTGAAAGTAGCTAGAAGTAGCCAACTTTCTTCTAAAATAGCTGAAAAAGTAGCAAAAAAGAAAACAGTGCTGTTTTTTCATAAAAAGTCAACTTTATTAATTTAATTCTGATAATATCTCATCTATGACCACCAGCTCGTCATTTTCACCATTGTCGCTTTTATAATTTGCCTTTTTAAGGTAGTTGGGTGGAACGCTATACTCATAGCAACATTTGCCATATCGGCGTAATCCATATGTTTTGTGGACATACAATCTTAATGAAACTTTCAAAACGTGATCATATGGCTAAAATGTGTGTACATTCCAAAGCACAAGTCTCTAGTACTTGAAATGCGTTTTTTACAAAATGATGGCGTCAATGGGTCAGGGTATAAAAACTGATAAGAAATGAATTTTGCATAGCATATTAGAAAGCTTATCTATTCTTCAGTTGTAGTATTAATTCTACACAAAGCTCAGTACATTTAAATTTACATTTACATTTACATTTAAAAAGTATCGAAGCGAATTTTGTTATAAGTTCGCTTGCATTTTAGCTAAATTTAATATTTGAAAATAGCCAGATTTGTAGCTAATAGCTGTTTGAAAATTTTTGTAGCAATCGGCCTTAAAAAGTAGCCAGATCTAGCTACAAAATAGCTGATTCGGCAACACTGTATCCACCCCCTCACCATAACCTTTGTAAAAGGCGTATTTCAAATACAAGAGACTTGTGCTTTGACAAATGCATGCCTTTGTGTGTATCTGTGTATGTGCGTGTGATGTGCATGTGCTGTTTCTTGTGTGAGCAGAAAAGAAACGAACAGAGCTTGCAAATGAGAGTTGATTCTCTTCCTCGCATCATAACCAACAAAATTGTGCAGACACGTCTCGCTCTGAGCGTCACTCTCTGTTTTCTTTAGCATCTGTTTCGCTCAGACGCAATGCAATGACTCATTCGTGTGACGCTCTCACATGAGTGTCGCGTAAAACTAACACGATTTTCCCTCACACAAAGACTCTCAGCAAAAAACACTTTGACTAAAAAACTCAGCAGAAATTGTTTTTGCCTTCGTGTGCATGTAAATACACGCATACATACATACAAAAAGAACGCAGCAATCGCGCGTGATTACCCATACAAACGCAACTTACCGTTTGCTTCATTTAACTCAAGCAAACGATCAGTGTTTGACTTGAGGAAACGAAAACAGAAATAACTGTCTCCCTCAGAGCGCGAGCGAGCTAAACCAGACGCGACAAAAACCGTTTCTGTCTGAGTTTTTTTGACTGTGTCAGTGAAAGACGCTTTTTTGCAAACAACGAAAAAGTGTTAACAGTTATTTGCGAGCTATGGAAACGAATAATAATAGAAATATCAGTTGCTCAAAGCGTTCAGGGAATGTAGTCGAACAGTGTCGACTAGAGCTTTCTTATTTATTATAAATGACCGTCCTAGCTCTATTTTGCATTTAACGATATTTAGGTATACACCTTCAAAATGACCTTATTGCATTTTATCATTGGCGTGTGGCTAACCAGGTGCACTTAAATTGCTCAAAGTATATGACAATGACCTTCAGTCACACCTTTCCTCATATTGTTGACTATAAAAAAAAGTATGAACGTTGCAGTCGGGCATTACCGACTGAGGAATACTCATACACATCTTATCAGCAATTTAGTAGCTAAGTTTCGCTCTAATACTGTAGAAAATTCTGTTTTCCCCGATTTGCCACGCCCCCACTGGGCGTAGACACCTCATTTTTGGTCAGTGCTTAGAATAAGCTAACGGTACCCTAACTGTAAAATTTGAATGCTTATGCTCAAAAAATGTGAAAATTACTGGGTATTTTTCGATATGCCACGCCCCTAAAGAGATGTTTAAAATTATTTTTGGGTCATCGATAGAGGAGGTTACTGGTAACTTAACTCTCTAGATTTGAAGCTTCTAGCTATTATACTTTAGGAGATATCAACTTTTGCGGTTTGCCACGCCCCCTATGGGCGGACATATATCCGACAAAGCTTTTTGGTCTTGGGTGATCAGCCCGACTATATATACAAAAGTTGAGGTCTCTGGCATCAATTATGTCCAAAATAGAGCAGAATTTTAAAAATCACTGCATCTTCAGGTCCGATTTGCCACGCCCCTAATGGGCGTAGACTTATAAATTGTCTTTTGACTCTATAGAATCATAACATTAGCTGACGTGCAAAATTTCAGCATTCTAGGTTTACAACTTTAGGAGATACAGTTTTAGCCGATTTGCCATGCCCCCCAATGGGCGGAGATATATCCGCCATAGCTCGTGATCTTGGGTGGTCGACGCGGACCTACATACCAAATTTCAGCTTTTTAGCTCTTCAACTAACATGATTTCTAGTATATCGGAAAATGCATTTTCCGATTTGCCACGCCCCAAGTGGGCGGATCGGGAAAATTTTAACACTATAAATCGGAGATATACACGAGTATGTGTTCCAAATTTCAAGTCTCTAGCTTCAATAGCGACGATATAGATTGTGTTCATACGGACAGACGGACGGACAGCAAGACGGACATTGCACGAAACCAATATTCACTTTCGTGAATGAGTATACAAAATAAATCCTTTACTTATAAAATTACGTTTATATGAATAAAATCTTGTTATTATTTTCATTTCTAAATAAAAATGTGTTTCTGTATTCAATAGTAATAATTCAATAGTCTAATCTAGCAACACTAACATACCGAACTTTTCGGTATGTTAGCATAGCTCGTTTTGTTTCGGTCGTCCGCGATGCTTGGGCTTACACTATTTGAAAAAAACGAGACATGAGACAGCAAACACTACCAAAACACGCGTGTTTCGTTTAGCGTTTCAAACGCATTCGTGCAGGGTTCTAGTGCCTACTATTGGAACTTAAGTTCTTAATAACTTTTCTTGTGGATGGACTTAAAAAAAATCAAGTCTCTAGCTCTTATGCCTTCTAAGGTCGACGCGTTCATACATACGGACAGACAGACGGGTAGGGCTAAATCGACTTAGCTCGTCGCTCTGATCAAGAATATTTATATAGGTATCCCTCGTATAACGCGATAGTTACGTTCCAGAAGAATTGCGCGTTATGTAATTCCGCGTTATCTAAAACATAGTTTTATGTTCCAATAGGGTTTTAAAAAATAAAATACATACAGAAAACAGATGCACAAATATTTCAACTCTATACTAAAGTTCAGACTTTCTTATACAATTAAAACCACAAGATATGAATAATAATACATATTTCAAAATTCAAAAAACAAAATTTAAATAGTGCACATTAAAAAATTTTAAATAATTGTTATATTTAATATATTGGAGTCCCGATATTTCGAAATAGACCAGTATTTTTCGTTTCAGCTAATTGTGAGACTAATTTAATCTAATGTTAACGTTGGCAAATAAACTATTTCTTGTTAGATTTGATGTGAAATATCTCCATTAAAATATTTTAAACAGTTTTTAGTATCACTCTCTCAAACTAATCCCTTTAGGGGTTTAGGTTTAATGCGCACTTTTATTTTACTTTACATTTACAAAAATATTTTTCAGCTAAACGAAAAATTTTATGAATGAACAAAAAGCGGACCGAATTGCACGGAATTGTTATACATATGTACATAATTATACAGTGGCATGACATACAGATATAGTGGCGAGCACGTATGGATACATGTGGCCAAGTCGATGTTAAAGTGCCTATAAAAACATTTGTTTCACTTTTTGATTCTAAATTCAAATTTTTCAGATGAATACATAAAAAGAGCTATGTATCCACTTTTGCTCGTTTTAAACTTTTTAAAAATATATACTAAAGATCTTTAGCAATGCGCTTAGGCATACTTTCCACTTTTCCAAAAGAGGCATGCGGAATTTCGCTCAACTCCGCCTGGATCCGACACCAAAACCCAGTTGGTGGTATATCTTACATTGCGAGCCTTTTTTTAACCAAGGCCCATCAATATTTAATGGGGTTTAGGTCTGGACTTTGAGTAGGCCACACCATTATACAAAATTTTTGATAATCGAGTAATTGTTAACGATTTTCTCTTTGTACGGGGGGTCATTGTCCTGCTGAAATACGACTTCTTCCTCGGGAGCAAAAGTTGATACATAGCTTTTTATGTATCCATCTGAAAAACTTGAATGTATAATCAAAAAGTGAAACAAATCATTTTACCATCTTATTTAAATATATCAAATCAATCTATTTCCAAAATTTTAGACAGATTCATGAATTTTTTATAACGTTGACTTGGCCAACATGTATCCATACGTGCTCGCCACTGTATACTGACAGAAAATAAATAAATCTTCCTCTAATTGAAATATTCGACGGATTATTCGATGTATAACAAAAACAATATTCAATCATTAAATATCCACTATACTTGTAATTTATTATTTGTATCATTACAGTAAGTATGTACGTATTTGAAATAATACAAACAAAAGATAATACCTTTTTCCCTTCAAAATGGTCACGTGTTGTTCCTACAAAAACTGAACAAGCTCCACAGCTTTGATCAATTATAAGTTGATGTATATGATTTATGTCAATTTTGTTTCTGATTAGCTTAATGTGGTCCATGATGAGCTTTATACTTCGTTATCCCCCACTTATAGGCGGAATCACAGCAATTTCATCACCTTTACAGAGATATATCTCTGCTTCCAGATTTTCAATGTAGTTTTCGTTATGAGCTATGATCAGATTATCACTTATGGTTTTCAAGTTGAAAGATTCAATTAATTGTATCAGTAAGCTGCCCGCTTTTACCACAGGTTCAACAGTAAATTCAGCTCGTGAAGTTTTTGCTAGCTCGCGACTTTTTGCAAAAAATAACACGTTAATGTTCACAACCGAAGATGTCCGTTCCATAATTATTATTGAGATGTTCGATATATACACATAGATCTACAATCGAAATATCTATAAGCCTTCTAATCGATAGTTTTATTGAAAAAAATGGCCGCTTGGCTCACTAAATTCTTATCGAAACATCGAATATTTTAGATAATTTTCTGTTTTGCGGATTTTATGACAACACTAATGTGTGTGTGCTTGCCCGTCGCGAATTCATATTCTTTATGCGTATCAATGCTTTTATACCCTTCCCATGAAAAACCATCGAAACGCTTACATTTTGTTTGCATGAGTGTGACAAACGCTTTTATGATTTAGGTATATCCTTCACTCAAAAGAAAAGAGCTGGGATCGTCGCCAACAAATTTCAACTTTTGTGCGCTGCTGAGTTCGGTGATTTGAGCGACTATAGAGAGAGACAGAGAGAGAGAGAGAGAGAGAGAGAGAGAGAGAGAGAAAGAGAGAGAGAGAGAGAGAGAGAGAGAGAAAGAGAGAGAGAGAGAGAGAGAAGGACAAAAAGCGCATAGCTGTGCTTCATATAAGAATGGGACCATTTCGTTTGAGCGCTTGCAGCGCACTGACTTTGTCGTGCATTATTTTCACTGCTCGAGCCTCCACCGACCGAGCCGAGCAAATACTAAGTATAGTGGTCGACCGACTTAACATTTTCTGCTGTAGAAACATTTGTTCTACATGTCTAGTCTATGTGTTCTCTGGTCAGTGCCAATGGTCAGTGATCAAATGTTATGAATTTTGTAACGCAAAATGAGCAAAGGCCCCACTGTGCGCTGTTAGATCTATCGATAGTTTTGCAACTCTGAGTTCATTGATATTCTTACATATGTTTGTACATGTGGTTAACAAACAGCTGTATGTATGTGAATACAAATTATTCTTTCATTTATAAAGAATTGTCAAAAGTTATACTGTAAGTAGCGATTATATGCTGTTAAAATTCAGAGCAGAAGTGTGCTCAGTTCTACATTGTCTATGATTAAAGTAGGTGTAGAACAGACAAAATAGAATCTCTGATCGTAGTTCCTTAGCAGCAAATACTTGTCATTGGATTTGCTACATGTACATATGTATGTATGTATGTACACTGTGTCACTAAAGTAACCGAAGCCTCGATAAATTTTAGAATGAAATAAAAATATAAACAAAAAACATATCCAGAAAATGACACCTCTAAAGTCTGCGTACACTTTAACTAATCTGCGTAATCTTCTATCACTTTGAAAACAAGTTGCCACGTGGTATATCATGGAGCAAAACGGAAAGGAAATATAGTAGAAATCCGTACGCTTATATTAAAATATAGGTTGACGAAATGTGCAATGTTCTTCGTCAGTGTCCCGTAAGCTAACTCTAGAAGAATGAGAACAGATATTGTAAATCTTCACAGCCGAACAAAACTCGTATATGAAATAGGTAACGGTCAAACCCAAGCCTGATTTAAATGCTGGTTACGCATATAAAATAAATGAGGCTAGACATGGTCCGACAATCTGCACTTTTTCGCCAAATAATGCATCAATATAATAAATTTGATTAAGTTACATCGTGTTTCCTGAAAATGTTTGGAGTGTACAATAACTTTAGTGGAACATTGTATATTTTGGACATACTTATCTAAAATGTGAAAATCTAACAGGGAGAAGAAGGCGTATTTACTGATTACAGAAAATTGTAACCATAAACATAGATGGCTTTGCATTAAGACACAAATTTTAGAAATCCGATATGTATTTATTTCATTGTTAATGCTTTATAAAAGTATAAGAAGCAAATAATGAGCCGATTTCTTATAAGTATTACACAACAGTTTGAATTTAATAAAACAAACTTTAAAAACTATTACATAATATATAATTATATAAATAAATTTCATATATACTTTTTTCTCAAGAATGAAATAAATTTCCTAAATAATATAGTTTTCTGTTAATAAATCTTTAAGTTACTGGATCTAGAAAAAATATAATATATATACAATATATAAAAATAAAAACTAAATATGCTTACTGCACTATACTACTGAAATTAATATGTATTGTTAAATAAGTCATTTCAAATATGTGTAATAAAAACTCTATCTTTATCTTAGGTTAAACTAACGACTGTGATAAGCGATACAATCAAAAATGAAAACACGGTTTAGCTCTTACGATATCATATGTGGTATCGCAGAGCTCCAAAGGTAATTTCTACAAATTGAAAAATACATCATTTATTGACTATAATTGGCTTACTGGATATTACTGATAATTATAATTCTTATAGGTTAATCGGCTTACGTGTAAACCAGATATATGATATTGACAATAAGACTTATTTATTTCGGCTTCATGGAGGCGGATCATCGGAGAAGGTTACCTTATTGATTGAATCTGGTACTCGCTTTCACACGACTTCATTTGAGTGGCCAAAGAATATGGCACCTTCGGGATTTTGCATGAAGTTCAGGAAACACTTAAAAAATAAACGGCTCGAGCATATAAATCAACTAGGGGCTGATAGAATAGTTGACTTTCAATTTGGCAGTGGAGAAGCTGCTTATCATGTATTTTTGGAGTTATATGATCGTGGAAATGTTATTTTAACTGATTATGAGAAAACAATACTATACATCTTACGTCCTCACACGGAAGGGGAGAGTATACGATTTGCAGTGCGTGAAAAATATCCGGTCGATCGGGCAAAAATAGGAAATTGTGAACTGAGGGAAAGCGAAATGCGGGAAATTATAGAAAATTCGAATGAAGGGGATAGCTTGAAACGCATATTAATGCCAATTCTAGACTGTGGTCCAGCTGTAATCGAGCATGTTCTTATTGAACATGGATTAGAAAATCACTTAATAAGAGGTTCGGTGGATCAAGAGAAAGGCCAAGTCGAATCATCAAAAAAACAAAGCACAAAAAAAAATCGTAAAAGTTCAGAAATAAATCCATCTGATATACAATTTTTTGATTTGGCAGCAGATTTACCACAACTTATGTTGGCTATCAAGGTAAGTACAAATTCCTATTATTTCCATTAATTTTTAATTAACTTAAATAATTTAAATTACAACATACTGACGTTTTATGTACTCCATGATTAAAGTTACAATTGTATTTTTGTCATTTTATCAAGAATGAGATACTTAACAAGTAAGAAAACTCTAGTCGAGAGTGCTCGACGAGATACTACCCTGAACCCAACTAATAAAAATGCCTATTTAGTATGGCTAAAATTTCAATTTCGATGTGTTTAAAAATATAAATGAAATACAATACAAAACTCAATAAAATATAAAAATATATTGAAACAATTAAAAAAATTAACATAAGGTGCACCGATCGGGACTCGAACCCGCGACTTCTCGATCGAGCGTCACGCCGTTACTCACTACGCCACCTCACTTTCGGACGCTGCGGTGGCAAAACTGAAATGTATTCACTACTGCAGCGCCATCTACCAAAACTAAACCAAAGTAACAGTTGATGTGATTCAAAGAATGCTCCAGAAGTCGTTTGAATGTATGTGTGCACACGTATACGATACTGTTGTAGCGGCTGCACGTGCGTTTGTTAATTGGCCAAATATTTGATTATTATTAATTAATTTTTAATGAAACTTTCAGCATATATATTATATTATATATATTATGGGAAATCAGGGTATAATGGATTTGTTAAAAGTATATAACAGGCAGAAGGAGGCGTGGTAGACCCCAGAAAGTATATATATTCTTGATCAGGGCGACGAGCTCAGTCGATTGGGCCCTGTCCGTCCGTCCGTGCGTCCGTCCGTATGTATGAACGCGTCGATCTCAGAATCTATATCTATAAGAGCTAGAGACTTGAAATTTGTTTCCTAGGTCCGTGTAATCACGGTCAATCAATAAATCGGTCACGAAGAATAATACAGGTATTTCCGTGGAAAACCTTACAAGCTTATAAAATGAACCTCTATGAGCAATTTACTACTAGATTAACAAAGAATAGAAAACTGATTCACTCAAGCAAAAAGGCTAGATCGGGAAGATCATTCAAAAAACCGGTAGAAGGCCGCATCATACTGACAAATCTTAAAGATTTCTCTAAAAGTCATGTCGATTAAACTCAAAAATAATCATAAACTATCAATAAGTAGAAAATCTATCACAAGTCGGCGAAAGAAGGCTAATTTTTCTACGTTATAGATCTTCCAATACCCTTAATATCACTATAAAATAAACTAAAAAGGTAACGATTTGCTAAAACCTTCATAGGCAAGCCGCAATTATTCTGGGGAAAAGTATTATGGATGGACGATAGTTCCTATGAGTATCCTGAATAAAAAAAAAGCGATTTATAGCAGGTTGCCAAAGAATATTCGCAAAAAACGAGGCCCATGTACCAACGTGGTGAAGAATCGGTAATGCTCTGCGGGTTCGCATGTCTCAATAGCCTCTCCAATTTGATATTAATTTGTGAAAAAATTAAGAAGGATAGTGATTTACGTGTTCTGAATGGCCATCATCATCGAATTCCGGTTACTGGCTCAGTGGAAAATCAGCAAGACAATGCTCGAAGCCACAAGGTCCATATTATAACGAAATTTTCTGGGAATATTAAAGTCAATACATATGATTGGCCACCTCAGCGCTCTGATCTCAATATTATAGAGAATGTGTAGGCTTACGCAAAAGTAAAACGTAGCTTAGACTTATCAAGAACGTCCAAGGAGACGGATTGCTGAGGTTTCAGGACTTTATCAGGATGTTTCAATAGAAACATTACAAAATTTGGTTAAATCGATCCCTAGACGCTTGCAGATGTTAAATGAGGGTTTAATTCTTTTTACTATTTTTGTTACTAAAAGGGTTATGAGGGTTTAATTATTTTTACTATTTTTGTTACTATTACCATTGTTAAGTTTTTGTCTCAACTTATTTAAAAAATATTACTGTCCAGCCAAAGAATCGTAATCTGCCATGCAAATAATTATAGAAACATAATGAGTTATGTTATCAATGCAATATTTAGGGCAATGGGTACCATTACCTCTCGCAG